TAAACCTAAGATTTTGAAAGGTTTCAACTTTACATCTACTTTTAACAGCAGATTATATTTTGAGCAGGCCCTTCGAGGGCCGAGCATCAATGACGCCCGGATCAAAAATGTAGAGCTGTGCTCTTATTTTAAACAAAAAAATTACAAATTTTAAAATTGTGTGAACGCTGCAATTAACTATTTCTCATGCAACACGTTGTATTTCGATGTTACTGTTAATTGATTGAGAAATGGCTCCTTAATCAAAATGATATATATATAATCAAAATGATATATCAAAATAATCTTAATCAAATATATCTTAATAATAAATAATAAATAATCTTAATCAAAATAATCCTTAATCAAAATGATATATATATATATATATATATATATATATATATATATATATATATATATATATATATATATATATATATATATATATATATATATATATATATATATATATATATATATATATATATATATAAATCAAAGTATATAATTTTATAACCAATAAAAGAAAAGTCAATCATCAAAATCTTCGAGTATAGTAAATTAAGCACTTAAAAATAAACTTTTTGAGCCTATAAACCTTTTGAGCAGCCCAAATATCTATGACATTATCTTAGCTCATTTTAAGCAAAATCTTCTTCAATAGAATTAATCAAAAGGTCAGTAACGTGATATTGACCTTTGGTCAAACAAGAATAGTTTTTATAATCTTCAGTTTACTAAACGATCGTTCACCTTCAATTAAAACAAAATTAGTGTTGCAATTAAAACAAAATTAGTGTTGAAAACCTGATTTTTTTTTTTTTTTTTAAAAATCTCCAGATTTTTAAAGTTGAAAAAAAAAACAACCAAAAAAGGCGTTCAAGCTTCTTCTCAAAGATTTGATTGAGTAGCTGCTGTAAATTTCTTTGCTTGAAAATTGTTTTGCGGGCAGTGTTAAAATGGCAAACTTCTATAGTGAGATCTTTGTTTTCACATTTTAAACAAAAAGATCATCAATATCCGATGAATGAAAATGTGTTGCCAACCATCCTGATCCTGCTGGATCAAATTATCTAAACCAGCATTAAAAACGTTCAATTCATATTCTTTTATTTAGTTGTTGTGGAATTGGGTTGTGTTTTATGCTCCATTGTGGAAGCGTTTTAGATTAAGCTTTCTTTTAGTAGGGAGTTCAGTTTTAAATTTTTACGGTCCAGCTACAGCTACTGCCTCTTGAAAAACCTTAAGGAAGCTTTTCATCCATGGTAATGGTAGTAAAAGCAGTAAGAGTTTTTTTACCAAACTATATTTAGCAATAAAAATTCATAAGATGAACCATTTTTTTTAGGCTCATTTTTGGCTGAGCTGCTCACTGGTCAGATCCAGGTTTTCCATTACATGTTAAAGAGCTGTCAACATTTCTTTAAGCTTCATTTTTTCAGCCTTTAGGCAAATGGGTTGATTGCGTTGGTACAAGAGCTTTATTTTATCATAGAAAGTCTGTGCAGTGAAATTCATGTCGTTTGAGTGAGTATTTTTCTTTGGGTGGAACTCGCACTAAAAAGTACGAACAAAAATTTTTTATTTTTAAAGAATACTTTGATCTCTATTGCTAATTTAACTGAGTGCACAGCAACTAAATTCAGACAGTGAGCGCTACTGAGAGTAGCGCTCACAGTCGAGAGTACAGTTTCCAAATAATTTTGTCTTGCTCCATTGTAAGCACCGGACATATTAGATTTATTGTCGGATCCCTGACTGCGACAGCCTCGAATATTTAAAATTAGTCTTGCTAGATTTGTAAATTTGAAACTTCAACATACAAAAATTGTTCCAGCAATTAGTTTTAACTTCATAGAAGAGAAAAAGAATAACAAAGGTTATCTGCTCAGTGTGAGACGTATTGTGGGTACCATCGACTATGATGGTAAAGTAGAAACCATCTTTATTTCGGATTCTTCGAAACAACTGCACTTAGGACGAAACCACCGTATTATCTGATAAAATCATTTTGAGACAACATAGAGAGGTAATGAGAAATCATTTTGGAGCCCTCTTGTTAATGGTGTCTTACATCTTAAAAGTTGAATGTAATGACAAGGTTGTGAAGAGCCATAAGTTCAATACCGGCAACAAAGTTTCAATTTTCTTTTCCATTCACACGTGTTATTTTACCTGCAAACATAGTTGTATTTAATAATAATAATTAAATTATTACAATAACCATATAAATTGTTAACCTAGAAAAGCTAAATTCCTAGAAGTCAAGATAAGGGTAACATCCGATATTCCATAAATTCTTCTCCGTTTAGCTGCCTCAGAATTTATTTGCTATTAAAAGTCTTAATCTATACCAGTGGAGTTGAAAAGACGAGTGTATACCTCTTTTCAATCGATGTAGAACCTTTGGTAAAACAGACTGAACTGATGCTGCTTCACACAATCTATGAGTTTTTTCTACTGATCCCTTGCTCCTCCGTTTCAACGAAAAAGAAAAAATTCTCCTCTTTTGAATACAGATTACGTACTCAAGAGATAGCAAGGAAACAGTACAAAGCTCTGGGGTCAAGCTTCAAATCAAAATATTATTTTCTAGTTTTTATTTATGAGACAAAGATATATAAAATATATTCAAAGAAAAGATTCTCTTTACGGGGATAATCTCGTTGCTTCAAAAAATTTGAAGAAGGGTTTCCTTTAAAATAATTACATGTCGATCGTCGAACCCCTTCTTTGACTCAAAATAACTGTTGAACTTTTGTCGAAATTTTATCGAACCCCTTTTTTGATTCAAAATAACTAGCCATAAAGAAGATTCAACATTAATTTTACAAAGTAAGGTTGAGCATCAAATTCTCCCCTGTTTGATAAAGTTCCTCCTTCTGATTCTGATAAGCTGATGAGTCACTTTAAAACTCAACTTTAGGTGAATTTTTTAAGACTCATTAATCCACAGTCCTTTGAATCACACAAATGGAGTGTAGCAGGTGATCGTAAAAAAGTAAGAGAGCTCATTGGTTTCTTATAAACCTCATACACTGAATGGGAGTCATTGTCTTTGTTATAGTGATCCTTAAGGAAAAAAGTAACAAGACTCAAATCGTAGTCATCGAGAGTATGTTTTTTTTCCTTCATTTTTATTTTTACTTAAGTTATAACAATAAAGATAATAAAATCAGAGTTTGTTAGAAGGCAAAAAAATATGATACAAAAAACAGTTAAACAATTTACTAAAGGACTTAATTGAGTATTCGAAAAAGAAGCATTTCTTGCAAAATTTGTGTTTTCTGAGTAAAATTATTTTATAAAATAATTGGATAAAAGATATAAATTAACTGTATTTTATTTACGATTTTGGGGTTGGAGTGTTTGCAACAGTCACTGCACAACAGTCAAATAATACTCGAAAAAGTAGCGCTTTTATCGTGAAATTGTCAACGGAATTGAGGAATTTTCTTTGTTCTGTGTTATCGTTATAAATCCCGTACTCTTTAAAATCTGTCTATTTTTTGTATCTTCTGCTGCTTTTTTAGTAGCTCTAACAAGGTTTTGAGCACCGAGAAATTTCTTTCAACCCATTTTTTAGAAACACCTAAAATGTTTTATAATTTATAATTTGTTTGTAAACAAAGATTTCAACTTTTACTCAAAAAACACAAATTAGTTTATAAAATAACTGGATAAAAGAACATAAATTAGTCTTGTTCGCTTTAACTTCTTCAACAACCGCGTTGTCCACCCATAAAATGCACTGAAATTTGCATGAAATTCAAAAAAGTTGTCAATGCTATCAGTGTTGGCTGCTTCAAAGCAAAATTTGATTAGCGGTCATTCTAATTAAACAGCGCAACATTTTACATGCAATTGAGCACAAGCTAGAATAGTTGACTGGGCATGACATGGACATACGAATAAACCAGGTTCCGTCTAAGGAGTTGATCATACTGCGATAAACCATTCCGCCTAACTGAGGCACTCTAACAGATGGGATAAATTTCAGCTCGTGTTCTTATGGAAAAAAAACACCTCGCTCAAGAAGGACTTTTTTAAGGTCATGTAATGTTTTTTTAGAAATAATAACTCACGTCAAATTAGATTTAAAAATAAATTTAGATTCACAAAAAATTATTTTAGAACTTTTAACTTTTACTATATGCATATCAAAATTTTGATAATATTGGGTGTTTTACGAAATAAATTCATAAATAATTTATAATTAACAAACAAACAAACAAAAAACTTTCGCTTTAAAAAACTTTAAGAAAAATGTAGACATATATGGTCAAGGGACTTCAATTTAAAATTTATATAAATTTTGTAACAAAGCTGTCCAGTATATCCGGGGTGTTTTTCAGCTTGTGTTCATATAAAGAATTTTCAGTCCGCTTAACTGGGATTATGGTAGTTCATAGGCAAGATCTTGCCTTCTTTCACATAGGCGGGGTGAATAATTTTATATATGAGCGAAATCTTAAAATTAAATGAGTTTTAAAGGAGAGGCAAGATCTCGATAGTTTTTCTATCCTGGTCATTAAAATGTTTTTTACTTGTTGTAAAATAAAAAGTTTTTTAGAAAATCCCAAATCATCCGGCGCCCTTTCTAGCATAACGCCCTAGTCAATTTGCCACCTTTGCCCCTCCCTCTCGAAGGCCCTGATTTTAAGAAAAGCTATTTTGATTAAAAATTCGAAATATTTTTTGTTTAAAAAAGCTTTACTTACTCTTCGCGCTTAAAAACTTCACATTATGCAGATCTGTCCTTAAGTGTATCGAGTACAAGCAAACTTTTTGTTTGATCGAAAGCGTTCAATAAAGCCCCAAAAAAAAATATTTAGTAACATTTTTAAAAATATCAAAACAATAATCATTGAAATTACCATATGCACCGTAAATACATTGTATGTACGCATGCAATCTATGTGCATAGACTGTGTACGGATGAATGATGGGTATAGACTGTGTACGGATGAATTATGTGCATAGACCGTGTACGGATGAATAATGGGCCTATTTTTTTTTTAAAGTTCTTTATGCTGTGTCGCATTGTAAAGATCTTTTTTAAAAAAAAAGCTCATCAAGCTTTTGTTGCTTAAAGCATCACAAGTATCAAAATTTAAAGCATCACAAGTATCAAAATTTAAAGTATCACAAGTATCAAAATTTAAAGCATCACAAGTATCAAAATTTAAAGCATCACAAGTATCAAAATTTAAAGTATCACAAGTATCAAAATTTAAAGCATCACAAGTATCAAAATTTAAAGCATCACAAGTATCAAAATTTAAAGCATCACAAGTATCAAAATTTAAAGCATCACAAGTATCAAAATTTAAAGCATCACAAGTATCAAAATTTAAAGCATCACAAGTATCAAAATTTAAAGTATCACAAGTATCAAAATTTAAAGCATCACAAGTATCAAAATTTAAAGCATCACAAGTATCAAAATTTAAAGCATCACAAGTATCAAAATTTAAAGCATCACAAGTATCAAAATTTAAAGCATCACAAGTATCAAAATTTAAAGCATCACAAGTATCAAAATTTAAAGCATCACAAGTATCAAAATTTAAAGCATCACAAGTATCAAAACTTAAAGTATCATAATATAGAAATTTTATTAACAAGAAAATATTTTGCTAAACGAAGTAAATATAAGCGTTATCTAGCATAATAACAAAAATTATTAATAAAAAACTGTTTTTGATAAAAACTTGCTCAACAAAAATAATCACTAAGGCATTTGCAAAAAAATTTTTTAACAAAACAAAAAAACGCTATTATTTTGGATATGATTATAGATCAAAAGAGTTTTAGTCTATAAATTTTATAATAAGCATGTTGTTTTCATTCAAAAATTACAATGATCTCCACTTAATAAGTAAAAGTAAAAAAAAAATTATATGCTAGTATTTATAGCTATTTTTCTTCTACTTCCTTGAGAAATTCAATTCCTTGAGGAATATCTGATGTCTAGGAATGTCTAGATGTTTTTGCACTAGTTAAAATAATTTCACCACCGAGCAAAGTCCTCACTTAAAAATAGCATTCAAGAACTTGAGATTTCACAGGTTTGTAAATTAAAGCTAAAATTAGGACACCAAAATTACACACCTGCCTTGGCCACTTAGTTTTACATTTTATTTGCCTTGAACTAAAAGTTTACTAATATGAATTATAAACTGAATATGGTTTGATTTTTTGTTGATAATTTTCTTTATTTTTATCAGTTTAGTTTGTTACGGCTAGGCTTATGCTGCGGCTCCTAAGAATTGTCCGATTTACGGTTGGTTAACCAACCGTTAGTCCGGTTCCGGATTTTATGAACAAAAGTAGCAAGTTTTGGAATATATTTTTTGATCACATTTGCCTATCCAATTCCAAACCCATTTCAGCAAATAATTTTTAATCAATTTTCATGTTTACAAGTTGAATGTTTTACAATCAATACTCTTCAATTGCATATTACATTTAAAAAGAAAAATGAGTAAATACACATTTATTTCTATATTTCAAAAAGTTCAAATTTTACGTGTTCGAATTATGTAATTACGACTTTCGATATCTTGTATAAAGCTAAACATTTTTTTATTTCAAAAAGGTATTAACTTATTATTAAATATTATTAAGTTAATTGAGCAGCCAAGGCGCAGTGGCGCAAAAGTTGCAGTCTAACCACTGAGTCTGCGCTTTTAGAACGCAGGTCAAAAATTAATAGGTCCGAAGTTTTATGTTCGCTACATATATAGAAGCAACACGAGTAAGTAAAATGGTGGATAATTTCTTATTTAATGTTTTAAAGAAATTTTTTATATTTTAGGCAAAATATTTAATTAAAAGATTAATAGCATTTGAAGAAGTTATGTAAATACATAATTTACATTTTTCAACAATACTAATTGGGAACGGGACATAAAAAAGATGTCTTTTAAACGTCTTTTAGATGTCTTTTTAATGTTTAAAAAACGTTTTTTTAGACCCCGTACCCACTGGACAATGCCACCACAAAGTAGTAGAATATAGTTTGAAAGTTATAGAATTTAACAACTGTCTGCTTTAATAACTATATTTTTCCAATTTAACTCAATTAAATTTTCACTCTATTGTTTGAAATATCTGCTGGATAAATTCATTTCAAAGTAAAGATTCTACAGTGGTTTTCATAAATTTAGACGCACTCATATTTGAGAATAGAAAATTTTAGGTATTTTAACGATAAAACAATGACGAAAAAAGATTTCGGTTTAGTTTTTTTTCTATTTATCAGATAAATACATACAGAATACAAAATTTAAAAAAAGTTTACAAAAAAAATGAAATACTAAGTAATAATTAGGTACAACTACATGGTATTAAAAAAATTAGACAAAAAAAATTATTCATAAATTTAGACGCACGATACATTAGAAGGCGTAATTTATGAACCAATCAATATTTTGTGTATCCGCCTTTTGCTTTAATACAACTAAGAACTCTTCTAGGCATAGACTCAACAAGATTTTTGCACATCGCTTCTGGGACCCCATACCAGGTCTCCTTAAGGAATTCCTTGAGCTGACCAAGTGTGGAAATTTGAACCTTTGCTAATTCACGATCAATCCAAGCCCAAATGTTTTCAATCGGGTTCAAATCAGGTGAATATGGAGGCCACGGTATTGTCATAATATTATTATCGTTGAACCACTCCTTTGTATAGTATGCAGTATGTGCAGTAGCGCTATCTTGTTGAAGTTTCCATGGTTTATCATTGAGCATAAGCAGGTCAATTGATGGAATTAAGTTGTTTTCCAGTACTTCTACGTATATTCTGGAGTTGATTCTTCCGGTGTATGTTTGGCACATACCAACACCTATGTAATTAAAGCATGACCAGATTCCTATCGAGCCTCCTCCACTTTGTACATTTGGTCTAATGTACCTGGCGTAATACTTTTCGTGAGCCATTCTTTTGACTGTTATGTTAGATTTGCGATTGATAAGCTCAAAGTTACTCTCATCACTCCACATAATGTTTTCCCATTGATCTATTGTCCAATACCTTCTTTCACGACACCATTTTAGTCTCCTTTGTTTATCATATGGACGCAGAAGCGGTTTCTTCAAAGCAGTGTAGACTCCATTCTTGTATTTGATAAGTATTCGGCGGACTGTGCTTTGAGAAATAGATATATTTCGCGTTGTATTGAATTCTGTGGTCAATTCTTTGTAACTAATTTTTGGATTAGCTCTGACAGCTCTAAAAAGAATGCTATCGTCCTTTCTTGTGGTTGACAAGGGTCTACCTGGCCTCGTTTTCTCGCTGGCACCACCAGTGTGAAGAAAGTTTTGTTTCGTTGTCCGAACGCATTTCTCAGAAACTCCAATTAACTTGGCGATTTCTCTATTACTTTTGGTTCCTTCTTTGATGTGCGCAATAATTTGCCATCTTTCACCTTGAGTGATACGTCTTTTGCCCATTTTTCGCGTCTTTTTAGTGCAAAACTAACTTAACTTTTGTTTATTTATTAAATAATGATTAACTAATCCCAGGTAAGTCATATTTATATAAGGTTTTTTGACAAAATCAATTAATTTAGGCCTATTAATGAGAAATATGAGAAAAAAACTACTAATTAACTATCAATTAACAAGATATAAGACTTTTTTAATTGTGCGTCTAAATTTATGAACAAAATAAAATCAAGTTTATCAATTAACTTTTTTGTGTTAATCGGTATAGAATGAGTAATAAACATCCTGTAAAAAAAATTATGGTACTCTATAATAGAGTTTCATTTCCTCTTTTAAATTATATATCAAACATAGCGGTAGCACTTTTATTTTATTTTTATTTTGAGTATTTTCTTACATATATGAAAAAAAAAATGAATGCGTCTAAATTTATGAAAGCTACTGTATTTAATAGACTTACCGCTGATAAATGGAAAGAATGCTCACTTGATAAATTTTTATAAAACAATCTTTAATATATTTAAAAGCTATAATTAACGCAACAGCATTATTATATTGAAAAAACTTTACTTAAAAAATCCGAAATGCGTCCATTTAATGACTATGACAGTAAGAATTTGCATATGAAAGCACTAACAATAATTGTAAATAAAAGGGCCAGTTTCTTTAGAACTATTTCATTTTTCATGCCACCAATCTTGCAGAATCTACACCAAATCCAGTCCTCGTTCATTTGCTCCGACTCCGACTTTACAAGCTTTTCAAGTTTTTAATAATAATTATATCACAACATTTTTTTTTTTTTTTTTGTAATATTCATAACATTTTTTATACTAAGTTTTTTCCACAAACATTTAGACTTACTGTTGTTTAACTTTTTTCTCAAAAATTTTGAACTCAATTCAATTCATTTAATTTTTTTTTCAGTTTCAAATCTTTTCCAATTCTACTTTCCAATTTTTTCTAATTTCCAATTTTTAAGATTTATGCTTTTATGTTTTTAAGATTTAAGTTTTTAAATTTTTAAGTTTTATGTTTTTAAAAGCTAGATTGATTTTATGTGGTTTTTAAAAGCTAGATTGATTTTATGTTTTTAAAAGCTAGATTGATTTTATGTGGTTTTTAAAAGCTAGATTGATTTTATGTTTTTAAAAGCTAGATTGATTTGTGGTACTTTGCGCCCTATTCAGATTTCTTTTTCTTTTTTTTTCAATTTGTGTTAGATTTCAATTTGTGTTAGATTTAGTATTTTTTTGTTTTTCTAGACAGCCTAGATCTCATTTTGTCAGAGATGTATATTCATCATTCAAAATAATTTTTTTTTAAATTAAACAAAAGATTTTCTTAACAGCTAAAAAAAAATGTATAATTAATTGAATTAAATAATTAACTATTATGAAATTGATGGTAAACCTTTTTATTAAAGATATTTTTAAAAAATAACAATTATAAAAATAACAATTATAAAAATAACCCCATTTGTATTATTTTTTTCACTTGAAAACAATATTTTCATCGCTTGCGTGAGCAGCATTTTTTGATACATACGATATATCATAAATATTTTAAGTTTATCAACATAGCTAACATTTTAGAAACATTTTAAATTAATATTAATTTGTATCCTATCTATTGATATATTGATATTAATTGGTATCCTATCTATCAAGACATAAAAATTAACTTTATAATATTCAATTTAAAAAGAACAAACGATTGAACACGAGGATGCAACTTACTTTTCAATTGCCCCTATTTATTAAAAAAAAAACAGACATATTATTGTTATTCTTATTATTATTCTATTGTAATATAATGTATTGTTTTTTTAATGAGAGTCGCAATTTTCTAGACAACGTTTTATGAGCTTACAACTATTGTTTATAGTAGTTATACATTGCAAAATTAGTCTAGCACATACTTCTTGTGATTTTTATGTCATTTTAAATGGCATCATAAAAGTGATTTTATTTGGAAACTAAGTATTATTTCTTATTGCGATTAAGAAAAATACCGAAAACAACAGTGAAGATAACAAAAGAGTAAAGAAGTTAAAATTTATAATGTAGTTTACTTTATTTTATTGTTCCATTAATTTTTACTTTTTTTAAATATTGAGTTTTTAGTTTAATTTTTTTTTTGTATTTTAAATTTAGAAACTATCCATAATCTATTATAAAAGCAAATAATGAAGTCTTCAAAGTTCTTGCTTGCAATCTTCGCGGGAATTTCAATAGCTATTTTATACGCTGGAATGACTGTATTGTTTATACAGCAACGGAGCTTTGGATTTCAGTTAGATGATCTAGATGCACTTCGTTCAAAAAATTCATCCTTTTTTAAAGGACTATTCCAAACAACTTTATTTCCTATAACATTTACACCGACGACTAAAACAACCTCTACCACTGCTACAACTAGAGCAATTCCAAAAAATTATGGTATAGAACTTTTTTTTTTTTAATTTAAGAGGTTTAATATAGTATTATTCCACGAATATATATATATATATATATATATATATATCGCTATTTCTTTAATGAGTATCACTAATCCGCAAAAGCGCAGTCATTTTTTGACCATTTTTCACCCCTTTGTGTCACGTCGAGATGGTGTCACCCCGTGCGGGTTGCTAGGGCACCTCTTATGGGTGCTCTAGCAACGCCACTGATTGTTGTCCTGAACGTAATGGTACATTCTAGTAATCTCCATTCAAAAAATATAATTCTATTAATGATTATAACCCCATTAAAACGGTGACCCAAATTATTTTCTTTTTAAATATGCAGTCTTTATTTTCGCGTGATTCATACTTAACACGACAAAGGCGCAACGAAGTAGCATTCGCTGAGGATTTTGGTTGTTTTGTTTTTAATTTTATAAATAGTGCGAAATTTTTTTGTCAAATATTCATTTTACTCCGGTTTTTTTGTTGCTGTTGTGGTCTCCGGTCTTTTTTTTTTACTACGCCGGTCTTTACCTCGTCAATTAAGATTATTTCAATGATTTCCAATCAAGAATTCCAACCTTTAATTGTGGGTGTTTATTAACATTAAGATAAACGCTTCACTTTCCGCAAAAATGTTTTTAATTTGTCCATTTCTTTACAACAACAACAACAACAACAACAACAACCATATATTTAACAGAAATAAGGATATACACATATACATATTGTAATTACAATCCAAAAGTTAGAGCAGACGAGCGAAAACGAAAACCATTGTATATATCCTTATTTCTGGTAAATATATTGTTGTTGTTGTTAAACAACAACAATATATTTACCAGAAATAAGGATATATATCCTTATTTCTGGTAAATATATTGTTGTTGTTGTTAAACAACAACAATATATTTACCATTCACAAACGTCAGTATAAAATTAAAAAAAATTTGTTACTATATTCATTTAGTTAAAACAGAAAATTCATTTTTTCAGATTAGACAAATTAAAAAAGTTAGACAAAAATAAGCTACCCTATTCTAGCCAACAGTACAAAACTAACATTACTTATTGAGCCAAAAATCTGGTTCTTACTTTACGTAAAGTAAGAACCAGATTTTAGGCTCAATTATTTTTGTCTAATTTTTTTAATTTGTCTAATCTGAAAAAATGAATTTATTTAAAATTATTATTTAAAAAATGTATTTAGTAACTAATTTTTTATCTTATACCAACATTTGTGAATGCTTTAATGGTGCTATTTGAATGAAGCGTATGCTATTTGTAGGTAAGGAAAGCTATTTAGTTCAACTAATATAAAAAGTATATAAATTAATTTTAGTCAATGCTACTGCTTGTGAATCTTCAGTATGCAAGTTACCATTTTGTCGATGTGCTGGTTCAGACACCCCAGGATCCTTGCCGATCAGCAATACTCCACAAATGATTGTATTTGCTATGAATGGTGGCATAAATGTGAATAATTATCAATTTTATAAAAGTCTTGATGGAACTAAGTCAGTAAATGGTTGCCCTTTCAAAATGACATTTTTTGTTTCTGGAGACTATGTAGATTACACAATGGTACAGGAACGCTCTAAATTAGGCATGTTTTTGTTCTAGAACTGTATTGATATGTAACTGTTTTGATTGTTTGACTGTTTGTATTTTTGATATTTATGTGTTATTATTTACTTCTTTTAATTATACTAAAACATCAATCAAAGCTTAAATGTTAGTTTTGTTCTTATTTTAATTCATAATAGGTCATGAGATTGCTGATTATTCAGTTACACATCAAAGTCCGAATACTTGGTGGGCAAATGTAAGTTGTGGAAAAAGTTTAATAATTATTACATTTTTTTCTTCTATTTATTTAAATAAAATGAAATAAAATAAAAATTAAAAAAGAATAATTTTCTTATCACTTAAATTGTTGCTAATTTTTTAAAGGCTAATCGTCAGCAGTTAGAATCAGAAATTCTAAATCAGCGAGCCAATCTTAACTCAAAATCAAGTTCTCCAGTATATGGATGGCGATCTCCGTTTTTAGAAGCAACTGAATTAACATATCAAATTTTGTATGAAAATAACTTTCTTTATGACAGTTCATTAGTAACACGTTTGTCTGAACGATGGTGGCCATACACACTTGATTACTTGCCAAGTGCACCATGTTACCTTACTAACTGTCCAAAGAGTAAGACTTCTAAAATTAACTTATAGATAAACATATAAATAGACTAATGCACATAATTTTATATAAAGATATAGATATATAGAAACTATATATGGATTCATATATGGATAAAAATATAAATATCAATAAAGTAATTGAGTAATTAAAAATAAACCTGGTAACCTGGTAACTGGAATCTTCTAGATTTTAAAAAATTATGATGATATGATTTCATAACAATTTTTTTAAATTATTTTTTCATTAGTTTTTTAAAATTTTAAATTCAGTATTTGGCTGATTTCTAAAAATATTTTGTTTTTTTATCTATCCTCTTTTTTTTATTTATTTTATAAAATTTATATTTTATAAATTGAAAGATATTAATTATTTATATATAGTAACAATAATATGTAATTAAATGAAAGTCTCAGGCCTTGGAATAGGCAATTGACATCTGTCTATCTTTTGCCCTACAATTGGCCCTGAATATGGCAGCTAACTATCAGTCCTTGTGCTTAGTTGCTTTTCTTTGCTGAATTGTTGTAAATAACTCATTTCTTCATCTAATTTAATAAAAAAATATATATAAAAATATAGCTTATTAAAACTTACTACTTATTTGTTACATATTTCTAAATTTAATAGGAAAATAATAATTTCTGATTATTTCAGACCTGTTTAGTTAACTCTTTTTTATTTTATTTTACTATTTACTCTATTATTTTTGTTTACTTCATATTTACTCTGTTATTTTTGTTTACTTCATTTTTATTTCATTTTATTAATATATAGTCAAAAATGATAACTTTAAATTATATTAAGAATCGTATCCTGGTCTTTGGGAAGTTCCTTTGCATGTATGGTCTGATGGTTCAACAGGAAATACTTGTATCACATTTGATCAGTGTCTTTCAAGTCTTATTGAGGGTGATGAAAATAGTGTTTACAAGTTGTTAATGCAAAATTTCAACATGAATTATTTGGGTGGTAAGCAACCATTTATCATGTTTGGAACATCCTTATGGCTAGATCCAAAAAAGGACTACAGACAAAAAGGTCAGTTTTGTCTTTTTTTTAAACATATTTGTTGATTAATTTATTTTGTTTATAAATTACTTATTATTATTTATTAATTTATTGTGTTTTTAACAAAATTTAAAAATGTTAACAGAAGTTAAATTGATTTAGGCTTAATAAAGTTTATTAATGAAATGATAAAACTTCCTGATGTTTATTTTGTAACCGCAAAAGATCTGATTGACTGGACAAAAAACCCAGTTGGTTTGGATAGTGGTGCATTTCCTTGTATGAGTTCAGCTGCATCAATACCTTCAAATGTCCCAACAATACCAAGTACACAAATTTTATATCTTTTTTCTTTTAATAAAATAAAGATTAAGTAGATGGAGTAGAATTAAGTATAACCTAATTTGACAAAATTAAAAATGGAATCAAAAATTGCTTTATATAAGAGTTTAGTAAGCGAAATTTAAGACACATTTGTCTATTTAAAAATAGACAAAAGTATTTCAATTTATATAAAAGTTTTATCAAACACGTTATAAGATTTTATAAAAGGGTAACCTGTATTTTTTTTTATAACTGTATTTAATGTAATTTTATGTATAACTGTATATTATGTTATGTCCACAATAAGCATGATGTCTTATCTTTTAGCTTGATGGTAAAATGAATTTATTAAAATACTATGCTATTATTATACCATTAATATTGCTTAATATTGTACTACATTATGTTTGTTATAGCAATTTCCAAAGATCGTGGAGTTTATAGTAAGTTATACATTATTTTTTCTTTTAATATATGGAAGAAGACTAGTTTTATCTTCTTACATCTGAAAATAAGTTTGAAACATCTGAAAACAAGTTAAAAATTACCAGCTAAATGTGAATAGTTAAAATAAGTTATTTTTGATTAAAAATATTATTAATTTATTTTTTAATGCAAGTGAATATATTAGAAGAAAAAAACAATATTGCATTCATTGGTTCTTTTTTGCGTAAATACTTTTTATCTTTTATTATTGTATTGTATTAATAGGTTGATCCATAATTTATGCCACTTTTTTTAAAGCCACTATTTTAAGACCAAGTTGACTTTTTGTCTGTTTTAAAATTTTATCCTCCATTATAAACATAAAAACTTGTTTTGAGTTTATTTTCACGTTTTGTCCTTTAATAAATACTGACTTTAATAAATATGGAATAGTTAATTATCAATCTAATATATAATAATAATAATAATAATAATAATAATAATAAATGTAAACAAAAATAATGTTCACTTCTCTAAAACTTGAAGTAAATTTTTTTTTCAAATTGTTAAAATCTACACCTGTATTTATATATTTTTCAATAGCATAAAATAAAATTTTTTTCCTTCACTCAATTTTTAAATGTGCGCAATATAAGATTTTTTTAATGAAATATCATGTTTTTTTAATAGAGCCTGCCACACCATGTGACCCATCTATTTGTGTACTTCCAAATTGTCGTTGTACTGGTTCTGACATACCTGGTGGTTTACTCCCTTCCAACACACCACAGATGATATTGTTTACAATGGACGATGGGGTTAACATTAATAATATTCAGACCTATAAAGACCTCTTTGATGGATTTAAAAACTCTAATGGTTGCCCAGCTAAAGGTAGTTTTTTTGTATCAGGAGATAATACTGACTATGCCATGGTAAAAGAACTTAAAGATAGAGGTAAGAATAATGTGTATTTAGTGTAAAGTATTTATGTGTAGTTTTCTACTTATTGATGGGTGTCTAAGTTCGGTTACAGCATAACTAAATAAAATGTTTGCCTTTTTTTGGGACTAAACTAAATAAAATGTTTGCCTTATTTTTTTCATTTTTGGGAATTGATTTTAGTTTTTATTAACAATTTTTATCACTATTTTTTTGAAATTAAATTTTCTGTTTGTTTTTTTTACTTGTTCTATTAAAAATTAAATAGTTTGTACAACAACAATAACAAACATAAACAAACAAAAGTGTCTAAGTTTAAAGAGAAAGTTTTTATTTTCTTACAAAGTTTTCATTTTCATATGGTGGAGAATTTTTTTTTCAATTTTTTAAATGTTAAAATCAGAAGGTTAATTAGATAGTTTTATATAGAAGTCTGGTAAAGAACTTAAAAGCTGTACAACTGTTTGATCATCTTTTTTAATCACAATTTTTATAGTACATTATTTTTATAGTACATTATTTTTATAGTACATTATTTTTATAGTACATTATTTTTATAGTACATTATTTTTATAGTACATTATTTTTATTGTACATTATTTTTATAGTACATTATTTTTATAGTACATTATTTTTATAGTACATTATTTTTATAGTACATTATTTTTATAGTACATTATTTTTATAGTACATTATTTTTATAGTACATTATTTTTATAGTACATTATTTTTATAGTACATTATTTTTATAGTACATTATTTTTATAGTACATTATTTTTATAGTACATTATTTTTATAGTACATTATTTTTATAGTACATTATTTTTATAGTACATTATTTTTATAGTACATTATTTTTATAGTACATTATTTTTATAGTACATTATTTTTATAGTACATTATTTTTATAGTACATTATTTTTATAGTACATTATTTTTATAGTACATTATTTTTATAGTACATTATTTTTATAGTACATTATTTTTATAGTACATTATTTTTATTGTACATTATTTTTATAGTACATTATTTTTATAGTACATTATTTTTATAGTACATTATTTTTATAGTACATTATTTTTATTGTACATTATTTTTATAGTACATTATTTTTGTAGTACATTATTTTTGTAGTACATTATTTTCTCATGAATTTCAATAGGACATGAAATAGGAGATCATTCTGCTACTCACAAGTTTCCAATATCATGGTGGTCAGATGGTGTAAGTAAATAAAAATAATTTAAGTTTCTGTACTTTGTATTTCTGTATTATCTCTATATTATCTTGGTATGTGATGAGTTTTTTTTTTATTTGTTTCAGCCTTCATATGAAGAATTGGAGTTTGAGATTTTAACACAGAAGTCAACATTAGAAACAAAATCTAATGTACAAATTAATAGTTGGCGGAACCCATTTTTAGCTTCTACAGAAAATACCTTCAAAGTGCTTGCAGATAATAAATTTTTATATGATAGTTCTATTGCAACTGCCGCTGGAGTTAGATGGTGGCCATATACTTTTGACTATTTGCCAACAATACCTTGTCAGCTGAAAAATTGTCCTATCAGTATGTTTTAACTATAGTTATTTCTCCTTAAGGCAAAAAAATGTTTTAAAGTTTTTTGTTAATATTTAAATTTAACTTTCCCGGTTTGTGTTAAATTTAGACTCATATCCCGGTTTGTGGGAGATGCCTTTAAATACTTGGTCGTGTAATGACAATGGTGCCGTGGGAGCAATGTTTGATGATTGTAGTCCTTACCTGGTGGACCAGGATTCTGAATCTGTATACAAGTTATTTATGAAAAACTTTTTGCTTCACTACAATGATAAAAGAACGCCATTTAGCATGTTTGCTCATTATTTTTGGTTTACAGGGCCAACTTTGAATTACAGAAAACAAGGTGAATTTTTTAACTAATAAATATTTTATAAAACTTTTTGTTAACTTTTTTCTCTAAAAGTTGTAATTTTGATATAATTCGTGTATTTTTTTCTTATGATTCTAGGACTAATAAAGTTTATGAACGAAGTCCGCTTACGCCCAGATGTTTTTTTCGTATCTGTTAAAGATGCTGTTCAATGGACAAAAAATCCAATTGGTTTGGATAAAAAGCCTTTTTCCTGCTAATCGAATGCTGATTTTAATTATTTAGGGATTTTATAAAAAAGGCAAATTTATTTGTGGTATTTAATTAGTCCATTATTGTATTTTAAATTATTAAAATAAAAAATGTAATAATACTAATGCTAAACTTAAAACTTATATCATTACGCGTTTGTGCTAATTTAGAAAGTGAAAACTCGATAAACAATCACACAGTGATCGGAAATAAAAAAAACGCATTACCTTCAAATCTGTGAAGTGTGTTTTTTCTATTTTAATAAAAAAGCTTTTTCTATTTTAATGCCTTATAAAAGTGCAGGTAATTTTTGTTATGTTTTTTGAAGTTAAAAAAGTAGTATACTTAAATCTAACTTTTTAATAAACTCTATAAATTTCTATAAGAATCTAAATATGAAGAGTGAAACTTCCCTTCCTCCTTCAATACAGTATAGGTTTTAAGGACTTTAATTAACATAGTTTTTTCTAAAAGTTGTTCGTAAGCAATAGAAGTTAACAAGTTTATGTTAAAAATTGTTGTTCACCGTGTCCTTGTGTATTAGTGTACACAAAAATCTGAAAATGACAAACTTAGTAAAGTTCAATAAATTCCCTTATATTAGATCTAAAATCAAAATTTTTTTTTCCAAAACAATATACCTTAATGGTTTCAATTCTCTCCCTAAAAATTAACACAATAGAAAATAAAGACGTTTTTAAACAAATTAAATTACTTCAACATAACGTAATTTGGAAAAAGTGTACAAAAAAACGTAGTTTAATAAAAGAACTCAAGCGCTACATAGCAGAACACTCTGCAGAGCGTTGTACCACTAGAGCTCTGGTGACATTTTATTTCAACAGATGTCACCGCTAATGACAAACCTGCACTATATACAAACTCATAACTTTTGTTAAACAAAGAATAAATTTATAGAAACGACCTATGCATTCTTCTTTTGGCCCACTTAAAAAAAATCGGAATCAAGAAAGGATCATCGGGTTTCACTTCGTAAATTAAAATATTTTTTTTACAGGAAAACTGTAAAAAAATATTTTAAGTTATTACAAAAAGGTGATTTTTATAGCTAACTTTGTTAAAAAGTTTTTTTTAGCATTGGAATTCTTGCATGATGGGAAAATGTAACAAACAATACAGTGAACAATACACAAATCAAAATCCGTAAAAGTAAAATTAATGAAAAAACAAATTATAACAAAGTGAAAAAATAAATTTAGTTTTTATATGATGTTATAATTTCAAATATTGCACAAGTACTCTTAAAGTCTTATTTTTCTAACACCACCGCAATACAACAAAATAGTCACCAGCTTCCCTTGAGAAGAAAGCTTTTTTTAGAATAAATAAATCTCTTGGTGTCTCAACACTTTAGTTTTCATATTCATAAATACTCTAAATGACCCACTTTATTGTTCCATTTTATTATCCCCTACGTTATGAGCAGTGAACGACACGGTGATAAAAAAGAATATTAAAAATCCTTTTTCGTTTTAATATTCTAAATAATATAAAATAATAATCTCTTTACATTAATCCTTTTATATTAATGCTGAACTTAATAGTAGTAGTTGTGCCCTTTCGAGCGTGTTTGACACGGAGCTCTTGGCAGCCATTGCAACATTGAGATTTTAAAGGGATGGGGGGTAATGTGTCTGTTTTTTGCACTATTTAATATATACATATATATATATATATATATATATATATATATATATATATATATATATATATATATATATATATATATATATATATATATATATATATATATATATATATATATATATATATATATATGTATATATATATATATATACACATATATATATATAAACAATTTAAAATGTATTCTACAAAAAGAATTCTCAATGTTCTTAGAAATCAATGGGCAGTTATGATGGAGCAGACATTTGTGAATTTGTTGGATTAAATATTTTAGATTTATTAAGTAAAATAATCAATATAAATGATTTAGGCCTTTATCGCGACGATGGTTTAATAGTAATGCGTAAAAAATCCACAGCTTAATAAAATTAGAAAAGATATTATAAAAATTTTTAAAAATATTGGCTTTCAAATTGAAATAAACATAAATTTAAAAATTGTGAACTTTCTTGATGTCACATTTAACCTCTCGGAAAATACATATTAGTCTTTCAAAAAACCAAACGATGAATTATTGTATATTAATATTAACTCAGATCATTCACCCCAACTTCTAAAACAAATCCCGATTTCAATTAATTAGAGGAGTTTTGGTTAACAGGTTTAACCAAAACTCCTCTAATGAAAATGTATTCCTCCAAACATATATTTGAAGATGCCCTTAAAAAAAGTGGTTTTGAAAACTTTGAATTAAAATTTGACCCTGAAAAAAAGAATACAAAAAAGCGAAATAGAACTAGAAATGTAATTTGGTTCAACCCCCCATATAGCAAAAATGTTTCCACAAACATAGGAAAAGTGTTTTTAAAATTGATCGATAAGCATTTCCCGCCCTCTAATAAACTACATAAAATTTTTAATTAAAATACTATTAAAGTTAGCTACAGTTGCACAAAAAATATGGAAAGAATTATAAAAGGTCACAACAATGCTTTATTAAACAAAAAAGAAATCCAAAATGAAAAAACTACAGAAAATTGTAATTGTAAGCAAAAAAACAATTGTCCAATGAGTGGAAGTTGCTTATCAAAAAATGTGGTATATAAATGTGTTGTCTCCTCTAAGAATGTACCTGATAAGCAATATATTGGCATAACAGAAGATGAATGGAAAAAACGTTTTGCCAATCATAAGCAATCTTTTAAAAATAAAAAGTATTCAAAGGACACCATGCTGTCAAAATATATATGGGAATTAAAAGATAAAAAAATTGATGATTTTTCACTGATTTGGTCCATCCTTAAAACAGTGCCTGTATGTTACAATATTTCCAAAAAATGCATACTATGTCTACAAGAAATATTTGAAATAATTACACATACAAACCAAGAATGTTTATTAAACAAAAAATCGGAATTGATTTCTAAATGCAGGCACGAAAATAAGTTTCTCCTAAAAAACTATAAAAATAAGTGAGCTCAAATAATAGTTACATTAACTCCCCTTTGAAAAAAATATATTATTTTTTAAAAAAGCTTAAGTAATCATTTCTAAAGAATTCTTTTTACAATAGTGTCAGCAAATTACACAAATGTGTGAAAAATTGCAGTAGTTAAGACATGTGACTGTAATTTAATTTTTGGTATAAATTGAAGTTTTATTAATTTGATCATTCATTTCTGATGAGTCTTTATTGATGAAACACAGTGTTAAATGAGAAAAAATTTTGCTCAGTGATTTTCTACTAATTTATATATATATATATATATATATATATATATATATATATATATATATATATATATATATATATATATATATATATATATATATATATATATATATATATATATACATATATATATATATATATGTATATATATATATATATTAGAGCAGCCGTGGCGCAGTGGTTAGAGTTCTGGCTCAGAACCCAGAAGTCCGAGGTTCGACGCCATTTCTAGCCCAACAAGCGACATTGGTACGGAAAGAGGCGTGAACTTCCTGTTAAATGCTCTCTTGCGGTGCTCTATGATAAGACCGCAAGGACTTCTGGGAGCACCTAAATACATACAAAAAAATATATATATATATTAAATAGTGTAATATTAAAACATTTATCAAATTTTACAATTCAACTTTTACTTGAAAATTGCAATGCGCAAATATCTTTTTAAAAATAAAAAATAATACATTTTTGAAGTTCTGTAGATATTATATACATAACATTTATAAAGATATTATATACTATAACAAACGAAAGGGAGAGAATTTTTAAAAAAGCTTAAAATTTCTAAAAACGTCAAAACACCAGGAGAAATTGGTTACATATAAGTCATGATAGAGATATTTATCGTTTTGATGTGCTCAGGAAATCAGCCAGCGGATGGCCTGAAAAAAATTATGGTCTGACTCTTTATAAAGAAAAAATTTAATAAGCCCGTTCTGCTATTCCATAAGGTGCTGTAAAAAAAAAAAAAAAAAAAAAGCCCATAGCCAGCAAAAACTATATAATTTTATAATTTTACTTTGATGATTAAAAATCTTTTTTGCAATATTTATTTTTTTGCTATAAATATATACGGCCAGATTGAAAAAAAATTATTGAAAAAATATATTGAGTTATGGGCGAAAAAAGTAAGGCAATTATAAAATTATCAGTGTTTCCTTTTTGATTGTCAATACATAGTAGTTACAACTTATAGACCTAAAAGAAAGTCTTAGGCTCTTCTTTATTTAAATGTTGGAAATATTGAATAACTTAATAAGCCATAACTACGTTCTTTTAAACTTATACTTAGAGGTTGTCCATAAAGTACGTACGCATTTATTTCGACCCTCTCCCCCCCCCCCCCCTCCTCATTTGCATTTTGCTAAACGTTTTTGAGTCGTGCTTCCAATACCGATACCATTTTTCAATGGCAGTATTTCGGTACTGAATAATTTCAATACCGGCATTAAACTTTTTTATTAAATTTATCATAATATGAATAAAATCTCAAGTTAATAGTAAAAATTTCATTGATTTAATAAGCTTATTTATTTTATATCAAAATTACTAACTTTTTAATTTTTCGATTTTTTCTCCTTTGTAAAACGAGCCCGTAAAAAACATATGGCGTTCAGAGTATCATCCCAAAGAGATGATCCAATTTTGTGACAATGTTGCCACTTTGACACTTGTTGGTTTAATAGTTTTCAAGTATCGGTAGGAAATTTGCAAACATTTACTTTTTACGATTTCCTCCTTCTACAAAAACTGCTACCTCAATAGATATAATTTTTGATGAATAATTCAAAAGATTCAATCTTCTCTTGTTGTTACAATTTTTATTTTTCAAAATTTTAGAGTCAAGCTTTTCTTTCAATGACAAGTTTGCAGCGTTATCAACAGAATCACTATCGTAAGAAACGCTGGTGGAAGGGAGAGGATTATACACTTTCTGATTGAGCTGATCTTTCAGTCGAGCAATGGTATTTACAATGACTAATTTGCTAAG